GTTAGTTGCACAAACAACAAAGGTGATTGGTGCATTCAAATTATTCAACAGGAAGTTTACAATTATACTAGGAAGTGTATGAATATTTCGAGGAACTTGATCAAATGAATTGGTCAGCCCGAGGTAATGTATTGAATCAATATTTGAGGAACACTTCAATTGGAACGACAGTAAAAATAATAATATTAATTCATCTCACTTGAACCCATATGGAGTTCATTTGAATAGAAGGGGAACTGGAGTTTTTGCAAAAATGTAAAACAATATTTACGCGCTAATAAAAGTAAGTACCATTGACTGGAAAATAATATAGAAGCAACGCCCTCAAATGCGATATCTGCACGAACTAATTTAGCTAATCTAACACTAAGCGAAAATGAGATTCCAGATGTTGGCCAATTTATCCCGGGCGATGACCCTTTATCTGAAAGTATAAATAATGACAATAATGTCATTCACGATACACCACTTGATAATTTAAATGAAAATACTATTTGCAATGAGCTTAAAAAACTTAAAGGTTTTCGTGTCGGCCATATTAACATCACTTTCCTCACAAAGCACATCGAACCATAGGCGTACGGGACGGGCGGGGGCAGGGGGGGCAGCTGCCCCCCCCCCCAAAAGATTACAAAGTCGAAAAGTCGGGCAAATGTTCAACATAAGTCGGGCGAAGAGTGGGAAATTAAAAAGCCAAAAAAGTAGTCAAACCAATCTAATCTCCGTTAATAATAACCCCAGTTTGTTGAGCAAACAAAGCCAGTTGGGCAATATTGGCTTCACAGTCGGGCAATATTGGGTTATTATAAAAATAAATGGGACAAATTCTGTCAAATTTGTGGGGAATTCTGTCAATTTTGTGATGTTTTGGAAATGTGTTTGATGTTCTGAAAAATTTTGGTATGTCCGAAAAATTTTTGGACCCCAAAAATGGTACACTGACCGAAATTTTTTTGGCGACGGCGGGGGGAGGTCGGCAAAATTAATTGTTCCGGAAAAAAAATTTTTCGCCACTGGTCGGGCACAATCCGAAAAGTCGGGCAAATTTCTTTCCGCCCCCCCTAATTTTTTCCTTCCGGTACGCCCATGGCGATTCGTGCAGTAAAGCTAATCTTTAATCAAAATAAATTTATTCCTTTTAAAGTAAATCACCCAAGCTTTTAAAAGACCCATTTGAAAAAACCCAATTCAAACACAACATGTTTTTTTGTTTGTGGGAGAAGGGGTTCTGGTGTTGAAAACTCGTTGTATTATGACAAGCATCAGCCCTGCTCACGTCACGCCCTAAGCTGCACTGATTCTGAACTGAATGCCCTGTATGCAGAGCCTTGCTGCGCCTGACAAAAACTGACCAAGGAACAGTTGGACAGTCTTTAACCTAACAAAGGAGCAGCAAAGCCTATGGACAGTTATATGTATTAGTTTAGTTAACTTAATGTGTAGTATGAGATAAGCTCATCAGATTGAACCGCCGAAGAGGTGGGTCGGAAATTAAAGATATAATAATAATATCATCAGTATAAAATCTTGCACGTTATGCGCTAATAATCTTGCGCTTTATTCTGTGTTACGATTGGTTCATTTTAAAGGAGAAAGTATCTCGAAGCGTTTTATTGGTTTTGATAAGTAATAGCATGGTATTCAGGGCGATTAGTGATTAAATGTACCCGAAAGCCGAGAGAGGTTTAGTAAAAGCTTTTATTGAACCTCTTGAGGTTTGAGAGACATTTGATCATGCACTAATCGACCGTAATGCCATGCTATACATGCTATTTAATATCTTATTTTTCACCTTGCTCGGTTTCCTTTGTTCTTATCGTGGGAATAGTCCAATATTCCCCTCTAATATTCACCTGCAATGTCTGTGCAGCACAAAAAAGAGATAAAACAACATAAAGGAGGCAATATGGCATTAAGAATTATTTCTATTCTGACTCATTAACGCGACCTCTCCATGTGAAAAATAAGTACGTTATTTTGAGGCACCTCGTTGCCTCAAAATAACCTATACATAGCTACCGAGACAATAAAACGGTTTCATTTGATTGAACAAGTTGAAATGAAAAGACGCGCGTGTTTGCGTTTTGATAAACAGGTGGAAAATTTGTCGTCGCTGACCAAAAAATCGCGGGCAGAAACAAAGCTCATTGCATTTACATTCAAAACAAAGCAGAAAGTCAGCAAGAAGCTGTTTTAGCCGACGATTTTTTACTTTCCATTCAACGATTTACAAATTAACGGTTATTCTTTTAAAAGTCGACTATGAGTTCTTTGGTTTGGAATGATTTGTTTTGTAATCGAGTGATTGGAAGAAGTTAATATGGCGACGTGAACATGGGAGTAAAAACCGTAATAAACAAAGAAAGACGTGTTATGAGAATGAAATGTAAGTTGAAATTAACTTTATATGCCTCAAATTTTCCATCCTATGTTTCTTAATGTAACTTCAGCTGTCTAAGTTCAAAATACAAGCTCGCGAAGATTAAAAAATTTTGAAAATATGTAAAAATAGCTTGACTTTGAACTGTATTTTCTCAAAAATAGCCCGTGGCCTCAATTTCAAATATAGATAAATGAAAAGAAAAAACTGTTAGATGTTTGTAGGTATCAAACAAATCGTCAGGAAAATAGGGGCTCACAATGTTTTAGCTGTGTCTTTGAGACCTACAATCCTGGACATAAATTATTGGCAAAAGGGTACAGAATAAGAAAATTCATCGAATTTCACCCCCCTACCCCTAATATCAATGTTGATGGGTATATTCGAGGCTAGATAACTTGGCAAAACATTGATATTGGGGGAAGGGGGTATCATTGGGGCAAAAATGTCATAAAGTTATATTTTGAAGTAATAAACTTGTTTTTGCCACTATTTTTGTCCAGGATTGTATGAGATAATTTCCAAATTTGAATGTTTTAATTTTAGTGTATAAGATGTCTGACCGATAGGGTTTTTACTTATACTGAAAATAGTATTGAAATGACTCTGATATAAAGTGATTCTTTATATATTTGCACAACTTTCATGAATTTGACATTTATGTGCACACAGACATTATTAGCAATAATACATCTTCGTCACCCTGACAAGTACACGCAATAGCGTCACAATCTCAAGATGAGAAGTTAACAGTGATAAAGGCCCCTCGTACTATATCATCGGGCGCCCGAAGCACTACCAAAATCGTCACTCCGAGTCCTTTCAGTTCAATTTTATACAGCAATAGTTTCGTTTGCACTCGTGGGATTTTATCCTAGACATACGCATGTGCAGAACACACCCTAAGTTCTATTCCCGTGTTTATTCAATTTAAATAGCTCTTTGAATTAACATGATGATTAATGATAATATGTAAACTACAACACTATAATTGACCTCCGCTTGTGGAGATTTAATTTAGAATTAAAACTAATAATTCCCAACAATAGTTCTTTGCCTACAATTTCAATTTGACGTGTCACCAACGTGTCACCATACATGTCACCAAGATAATTGTGCTTCATATATAGTAAATCAACGTGTCACCAACGTGTCACCAAAATTTTATATAAAGTATATATACTTTACTTATACTAGTACTGGTGACACGTGGTGACACGTTTGTGTAGAGTAATTTTAATATAATAAATTTGGTGACACGTTGGTGACACGTTGGTGACATGTTGGTGACACAAATAAAATTCTTGACAGGATTCCATCGTCTCGTTCCATCCAGTTTAACAGCCATGTGAAAATATTTTGCCCCGTTGGCATGAACTTCTATGCAGCAGGCCCACTGGACAATTTTCTTGCTACTTTTCCCGTTATTGAACGCCTCTAGTACAATGTCGGAAAATGCCAGACAATTCGGGAACCTATCTAAATTTGCCCTTGCGCAAGTTATGAGGTATATCCGTCCGTTCTCATGTTCACTAAGTCATGAAATAAAGTGTATGTCATTCGACTCTTCGCTAAAATTCGCGCTAGCTTCACCGCTCTCCATCATATCGTATTTAATGTATATAATATTAAATGTAAACAATGTTCAAACCTATGAGAAGTACTTTGAAAATTCCCGCCAAAGACTAGCGGAAATACATTAGGCAACCCTAATTCAAATGGCCAATCACATGCGCAGTTTTAAAAAGGAAGTTTGAACTTTGTAATGAAATTAACAAGGTCATAATATATTTTGCCAAACTACAAATTAGAGTGGTAAAAAAAATTAAAAGCGGGCTAAAACCGAGAGCATTCTATGGGAAAACTCCGTAATTTTTGCATTCAAATTCATACAATCCTGGACATAAATTATTGGCAAAAGGGTACAAAATAAGAAAATTCATCGAATTTCACCCCCCTTCCCCTAATATCAATGTTGATGGGTGTATTCGAGGCCAGATAACTTGGCCGAACATTGATATTGGGGGAAGGGGGCATCATTGGGACAAACATGGCTTAAAATTATATTTTGAAGTAATAAACTAGTTTTTGCCACTATTTTTGTCCAGGATTGTAGTTTTTATATAAGATTTATACAATTTATTCTTTTTGCTAATAGATGCTCGAAGACCATTAGTTATCCAGGGTTTGGCTAAAGTTTTAGCTTGCTTATTGGATAATTTTATTATTGGAACATGTTTATCAATGATAGTTGAAATTTGTGAATAGAAAGAGTTAAATATTTCATTAGCATCTTTACTAGAAAGTAATATCTCATCCCAATTGACAGACTGGGTCTCATTGATAATCACGAATATTTGGAATAATCACGTCTATACCGATCCAATTTTGTCAAAACTCTTGATATCTTACTGATGATTAGCAAATTAGGGAGATGATCTGTTATATCATATATTATATTACCGCTATAACCGTATAATGCTCAATTGAATTTAGTAAACCATTATCTACTAATGTTGCAGAGTGATCTGTTATTCTTGTTGGTTGAAGAATATGAGGTTGAATGCAATATGATGCCAAAGCATTCAGAAGATCATCCGTTGGTTGATGAGATCTATAGTTTAATAAGTTAATATTAAAATCACCCATTATTATACAAAACTTATGTTCTCTAGAAATTTGGTCCACCGTTGCAATCAGGTGATCTGAAAAAGTATCAAGACTGCTATTTGGATGTCTATAGATGATACAGCATACAATATTGCTTTGTGATTTGCATTCAACTTCAATATACTAGGATACCCGCAAGGTAGGCATTGCTGCGGGCATTAAAAGCGAATAGAACTACAGTAAACAGCACAAATTATATCAAGCACAGTGATTACTCGCAGCGACTAGTAAGCTGTGAATGGAACTGAGAAGAAGCAATATATATTGAAGTAGCAAAGACCAGGGGTTAAAGGACAATAAGAGGTGAGAAATATTAAACATGTGCGTCTCATTGACATACAGGTAAATTAAGATCAGATTTCACATCAAGTCTGTTTACTGCTAGGCGCATTTACCATATTATATAGACTATATACACAGATTTATTATACTAAGAAACCAAAACTTGATAAAAAATATGGAACTGACAGTGGCCAAAGTCCAAAACAAATGTAAGCGTAACAGTAGACTGGAAAAAGCTTCAGAAATTCGATAAAAATCAAAGTCTCGAGCGAGTTTAAAATGTGTGTTCTGCGCATAGAAAGCGCGCACGACCACAATTCCATGCGCTAAATAAAATTTAGTTCAAAACCCCCTCTCTGCATATATTAGGTTGCTGCTACGCTCACTCGCTCCAGGCTCGCTCGCTCCGCAGCAATAACGTTTCATATTGTATTACAGTACTATTTAAATCATCTCTAATATGAAATTGTATATCATTTTTTATATAAAATCCTACACCTCCTGCATTGGTAAGACTATGGATAAATATAAAAGAACAATTAGGAATTGAGATATTACTTATATTATCCTTATTACTAGGATACCAAAAGGTAGTGAAGTGCTGCCGTTGATCTCCTCATAGGGAAATACGTTGCATCTAAATAGTAGGCAAATATTTTCCTACGTTTTCCCAAATTGCATTGCTATTGTTACTGGTATTTGAAAGGCCATAATTCATGAACACTTCGCTATGTGAAATCATAGACAATCAAACGAGAGGACTTGAAACACAGGCTAAATCGGTGATGTTGCTGACGTAATTAAACATATTTCGGGGACCAATAACGGCAATATGGATGCAACTATCGCCATTGACCAAAGTTTTACGAAAACATTGAAGCGTATACAGATACACGTCACCTTTAGCAGTTTTAGCCTGTGTTTCCAGTGCATTGGTTTGATTGTCTATGGCAGTGGTGGAAATGTTGGTGGGGCGGTCGCCCCTCTCCCCCCCCCCCGTCCATGGAAAATGACGAATTTTCGGAAATTTTGACCTAAAGGGGGCTAAAACACTCTATTCGAGTAAAAATGGGGGGGGGTGTAGGAAATTTAGGAGGCTTTGTCGCCCTACCGGAAAAAGTGAATTTCCGCCACTGGTCCATATATGGTAAAATAGGCAGCATGATGAAAAAAAATTTGGCGATGTGATTCATTCGGAGGAATATTCGCCTGCTGGAAAACGGGCTTACACAATGCTTATGATTTTCTGATATGGAGGCAACGCCGATTTTACTCGATTATCACTAATTTAAATACATTTAAAACAATATTTATTACCGTATTTTAGCTTTCGCCACTTTGAAATACTAAAAGATTAACAAAAACAGGATTAAAAAGTGTCGAAATCTATTAAATAATATTAAATAATAAGTATTGTTTTAAATACTCGCAGCGAGCTTGCAATTCGATTGTCGTTACCAGTCAAGTCTCCACTCAAGAGTATAATAAGCTGCTAACTATAAGATTAAATAGTCATGGGTGATAAAAATACGAATAACAAATATATTTCAAGTGGAAGCAAGTGTTAATTGTGCCATATACACATGTAGTCAATTTTCTTGCAATTGCACAAGAACTGAATACAAAGTGAAAGTCTTTACAGTAGTAATATTATAATACATAATATTGTATTATTGTGCCATAATACTGATAAAGTTAGATTGTTTTTCGCAATGGACAATCGTCCAGGAACAAGAACGCAACAAAAGTCTTAAAATAGTAATAATAGTACACATCTATAATAGTGTCATATAGTTCGATTGTTTATACAATCGCAAAAGAACAAGAACTCAACTTAATTGTACATATTTTATCAATGTTTGTACTTTCATTGACGTTTTGCAATGGACACGGCGTTGCGTTTTGCATTGTACATAATAGATACCTCGACCGTCAAGATCATCTCCATGACCTCGTCATCATTCAACATCTCAAACGTCTTTGCGAAGGTGGTCTGTTCTTGGAAAAGTTCATGGAGTTGGCGTAACTTGTCGCCAAATACAAGTAAAGTAAGGTTGTTGGAAAACAGCACATTCGCAAACAGTCTTTCTTGGCATTTGGACTTCAGTTGGGTCAATCCGCATTCCGTGCATTTCACAATGTTTTTGTTTGGTAGGGCCACGATCTTCGTCTGGCATTTTTTGCAGGACAGAACTCGTTTTATTGATTGTACTTCCTCAGCAGGGCAATCAACTTTGCTTTGGCTGTTTTGTAGGATTTCGTCATGCCTTTCAATTTCTATTTCTGTACTCTCTGTGGTGGAATTCTTGTTTAGGTTCAGGTACTTGTTCCCTCGTATTCCCGAACCATAACGTTGGACAATTTATATGTAGTTCCGGACGTTACTCTGCTTGTATCGTTTTCCCGTTACAACACAACTCGTATCGATCCACTCTCATCGGTTAGAGCAGTCTCTTGCATCAGCAGCGTTTTCTCTTTCTTCAAAATGGTTTGTCTGGGGCCCTGTAAATTAAGCCTACCGCAGACATTTACCTGCTGGTTGATGTCACCTTCTAGTACGGATTTTACTGACGACATTCCAGGTTTAATGTTGGTACAGGAGTTCTCCTCAATTACTGGTTCTCGAATGTCGAATGAAACTTCTCCGCTGTCTGGATCCTCAAGTCTTGATCTTTTATTGATATGGATCTCGTCGTCATGTGTCCAGTTGTTCCTTTTAATTTGATAATGGATAAGTTTTATCGGCAAAGACGACTCTGTTATGGCTTTACATTTGTTATGCTTTTCAGGTGAAAAACATACCGCCCTGAACGTCTGTCCTTTCGTTTGCAGCTGCATATGAAAATAAGGATTGCTTCTCTGGCTTGTTATTATTGGCAATAAACAGTGCACGTATCCTATTAATGGATCATCTAGAATGTTAACAGAAGTTGTTTAATTATATTATATATATTATGCCATCCCAAGGTAAAATAAAAATATAGTTTTAACATAATTTGGATATAGTAAATTGGAGTTTAGGTAGACTGTGTATAAGTTATTTAAGCTATGTGGTCTTTATAGTTTACAGATGTAACTTGCAGAATTGGAGTTCACAACTCAATATTTTACATTTCATCTTTTCCGATTTCTACACTTTTGGGGCAACATTTTACGACATTCTGAGACACTTAAAAAAAATAAATGCAAATATACTTACCATCAGTAGTTGTTTGATCCACCTTCGAATCTTCATTCTTTTGTACCATGGTTTTCGTGAGTACTATCAAACATTAAAAAGAATTACAAGTTTACAATTATTTAAACAAGATAGACATGTTTGAAGTATATATAGTTATTTCTAAAAAATATTATTTGCTGTGGTATTTTCAGCAAGTCTGCTTAACCGTTTTTCTTCTTTTATCCTGTACTTAATTAATTCCGTTTTTTTATACTCAACATTCTGTCATAAGTATCCGGTTCTATCACAATAGAAGACAGGTTGCAAACACGACTAATAGCTAAGTATGATACTCCTAAAGTTGTTTCGCGTTTACCAATGTCTACCCAAGCCTTTTGCAGAGTCATACCCTGACTCTTATGAATTGTCAATGCCCATGCCAGTTTTAAAGGTATCTGTTGCCTTTCATGTACTAAATTGCCTGTAGTTACAGTGGCTGTTATTGGAGGAATAGGAACACAAGATGTCTGGTTCGCAAAGGCAGGATCTGTATATTGGTCAAATTTTACCACAACAGCAATGGGCAAATCAGGAGGTTGATGGTCAACAGCGTAAATTATATATACAACAGTTCCTGTTGATCCATTACTTAAACCAACCGATGGCCATAGGTTCATTGTAAGCATAACACAAGCTCCTGTACTGATAAATAACATTGGTTGCAATCCAAGCATATCTTGAGAACTTACATGTTCTACCTTCTCACTAGAATGTCTGGCATGTATTATTGCAACAGGTGTATTTAATTGTATCAAGCGCTGATAGTTATACTCTGTTACTTGTTTATTGCTGTAATATAATCGTGTGGCAGTTTGAAAGTCATTCAGGTTTTCCACACAAGTAGGCTGTCTTGTAAGTAGAAGCTCTCAATCAGCACGGGTTGATTGACCATCTCTTAATCGTGACAATAAGTTTCGAAACATGATTTGGTTTGATTCTGAACCTTGAACTCTCTGACTTACATCTAAAATTACAACTTTGTTAAACATCTGATATGCTAAATAGCCCTGTTCTCTTAATTCATTACATGGATTTGAATGATATAGTGGTTTATCACAAACTGGAGGCAATTGACCAGCATCTCCTAACAAAAGGATCGATTTACAACCAAACAATTGATCCTTTACCCCAGTAGCCTGCCTGCATCGTCTATCTATCTATCTATCTATCCAGCCCATCGTAGTTTGACCAAGCATAGAATATTCATCAATCAGCAGGTAGTCAATACCCAATAACTGTTCTTGCAAATTAAGAAGACTTTGCCCAGATAAATCGTTTTGACGCAGACTACCTATAGGAAGCTTCAAAAAAGAATGAATGGTCACACCACTAATATTGAAGGCCGCCTTACCAGTTGTTGCTGTAATAACACATTTATTTTTAAGATAGTTAAAAATGCCATTTATAAGATAACTCTTGTCTGTTCCTGCTTCACCAATTATTATGATCAGAAGAGGTGATTTAGATTCAGTTGGTAACTTGGAATGGTATACTATAATGTCATATACAAGCTTTTGTTTTTCACTGAAACTGTTAATGTCAATTTGTTCACCTTTCCTAATTTCTGCACTAGCATTGTCCTTTTTGGTTTTAACCCAATTAGGCATTTCCCCTAAATCCTGTTCACTATACTTTGTACAGTCTAAGTGCCAATTGTAGTTGCAGCTTCCTTTTGGATTTTTAGCATTACAGTTAACACCACAACTATGAAACTGTGATAGCATCATCCATTCCTCTTGAGACTGGTGATCATTTTCAGTTAGCTCCTCAATTGAAAGTTCAATGTTATCTAGGACATTCTGCATTTTTTCGGTCCAGTTAGGAACATGCTTTTGGGCATATGGTAAACTCAAAAATTTATGTCATGCATTTACAAAAGTGAAGTCTTCTGGATTTTCACTACCCCAAGCGTCATGTTGATAATTCTTCCATGGTTTGTATTTTAACAGTTGGTATTTGCAAAACATATTGTAATTGTCTCCCTTCGGATTTGAAGAGTAATTTGGAAAAAGTCTTGGAACAACATTACAAGACTGCTCAACCAGCTTTCCCTTTTTGAATGTATATTTAGTGGCAAAATCGATAAAATTAACACTCATTATAGAAGGAAATGTATGCTTTTAATTAATACGATTGGCATATATATCTAGTAAAGAATCCTTTGTGCAACGGTCTGTTTCTTGCAAATTTGTTTCTACTCTTCGAGAGCCATTAAAGTTAACTTGTAATACTTGAAATGTTGTGCTATGTAATTTTAGAGAAAGCAATAAATGCATTGTTTCCTGAGCACTAAAATCTCTTTCACCTATTGTTTTTATCATGATCTTGTTGATAGCTTTTTTAGCATTCAAATCAGGCCGTGAATTTTTTAGAACTGCGTTGAAAGTATGTTTAAGCATTGGTGACCTACTTTCCCCTTTGGCTGCATACTTACAGAGATATTCTACACACGCATGATGATCAATAATAATCTGGATATCACAGTTACCTCTCCAACCCTGAAGCTGAATTATTTGATGATTGTTTAACCTAGGATCATTCCTTTTAGTTACCATCTTAGCTTTGTATTGAATGCTTTTGTCTTTAGTGTGAATTGGTTCAAATTGTAGTTTTGTTTTAGTGCAGCAATCAAAAGGGAATTGAAATCGGCATTGTAGTGCTTCGTCATCGTTTTTGGACTTAAGACAATATTGAGTACTGCACCGTGTGTGTCGCTGAACAGTGTTCAGCAAGTCAGTGTAGTCACTCTCAAAATCAACAATGTTCTCATGACGCTTTTTACAAGGATGGACATTAGGTTTCGTCCAAATTTCACTATCTAGTGGAAGCGGATTCCAAGTACTAACAAGAGAGTCTACATAATTACAAACTTGCTCAGAAGCCTTTTTGCCTTGTTCAATATCAAGCAAAATATTAACATCTTCGCAATCATTTGGGCATTTCTCTGCTAGAAAACATTTTAACGCTATCTCAGTAAGGTTACAACGACCAGGGTCATTTTTCAACTTTGCTGTACCATGGCAATGGATACTACCCCTTGCTTGAAATTCGTATCTATACCAATGCCACTCAGCATTTAAAGTATCCTATAGCCAGTGTTTGAGGAAACTTTCTAAACGTTTAGTAAAAAACCAATCAACAAAATGTGGTTGTTGATGACATTTTTTCGCCGACCGTCTCCAGTCAGATTTTCATAATTTGGATCTAAAAGCGAGTGCAACTCAAGCCAGTGCATATCTGCAGACTAAAACGTAAAAAAGATTGTAGGAGCTCCCTTACAAGCAATTATAGCCTTTAAATCTTCTCGAATCTTATACCAATACGATGAACTGCCAGTTATGTTACTTGCATATCTCGATAGTTTGGACATGAAAGTACTACTATTTGCCATGTTTCGCAACTCATCTATCGTAAGATGGGATTCTTCAGGATTTTGTTTGAGAAAAATGGCGTTTTGTTGCATCATTCTCTTTCGTTGAATCATATTCAGAGCCGAATATGAAAATCTAGGATGAGATGCAAACCCTATAAATCCATTTACCATTTACAAACTCTGCAAACTTAATGAGAGGCTGTATTTTATTACCAAGGGTAATATCTCTACACAATGATGGGTTAGTAAGATCACCCTTACCATCTGGAAACAAACAAGAAAATGCCATTGTTGATAAAACGGTGTTGTGTACTCGTTTAGTGGTTGATCTTCAACAAGTGGCCAACTGATTTTTGTACCTAGTCGGCTATGTATGGCATCTTGTTCAAGTTGATCATTGTCACTATGGGGAAGAAAAGTGCTTGTTTCAGTTTTGTGATTGAATACTTCATCCTTTTCATCAGAAACACAAGGAGCATTATTTTTGTTTTTAAACCTTCTGTGTCATAAGAATGATAAATTTCATCTAATTTTCCCTCCGGATCATTGTCTGATTCAATAATTTGGAGTTCAGCTGGAACACCATTAACTGGTAAAGAGTTAAGTGAAGTAATATTAACCTTTACACTGGGGTATTGGGGGTTATGTTTTATCAACCATTGCAATGCCTGTTCAACCTTTTTTCTCCTTACAAAAACATCTTTAAAAGTATTGCCTTTTCCTTTCATTGTGACAACAATTAGTGGAATATCAGTAGTAATATAGGTACCGTTCGGGCCCCTTTTTTGGGGCGGCGCGGGGCGGCGCATCATTATATATGCAGGTAATTACTATGCAAGGGGGCGGCGCATCATTATATATGCAGGTAATTAAGGGTTCCGCACAAATGAGGGTGCGTAGTGACGTCACTCATTAACACACGTCATAATTATATGCAATGACGTCACGCGGGCGAGCTTAAACACGATCGGGCGAACCTTGCTGACTACGCATTTTTTAGCGGCCCCCACGTTTATGATACAATTGAGGGATTAATGTTGGCTTACTATGATTGGTTGTTTGATTTAACGAGCGTCAGTATAAAATCGGCAAGCGTCTTGTAACAAGCATCGTCTATATTTTGACAACGCTCTTACCGGAGGTCTTTTGGCAAGCTGCTGAAATTTATCTTGTTGGTAGAATTAACGTTTATTGGTTGTTGGAAGATAAAGTTTTTTTGAGGGGAAACAAATTTTCGCGCTCTTTTTCAGTCGAGATGGAGCAAGCAAAGTGGGAAGAGGTTGTTTCTTCGTGGATGAGTGGTAAATCGTTTGAATTGAGTACAGAGTGTGAGAATGGGGTTGGTTTACCTATTGAAAAGGCAAAATGGCAAATTACAGATTTGGAAAACATTTTGATTTGTCAAATGCAATCACAATTGATTCTGAGTGTTAGTGTTCCTAAACGAGTGCAGGGCCCTACCTTTACATATTTGTTGAACTGTAAGCAGATGCTTGTGGGTGAGATATTTGCAGATATGACAAAAAGGAAGGAAAAATTCGAGAAGAAAACAGGTGTTAGCTTGGACAACTATTACAGATTGGCTGCGAGCGAAGTCGAGAATGGGAAGAAAAGAAAAAAAATGTCTGAGTCGAATGGAAGCAACAAGGCCCTCGGGTGACCAACACTGGCATCGTGCTCTTCAGTAATCCACTACAATACCAGTACATGATTGAAGAAACAGGAGAGACATTTAACAGTTCTAAATCTAACACTAAGGAGGCCTATGATGAATTTCGTAGATTTGGTTTAACAAGTGAACTTGATAAAATAGACCTCTTGTAATAATAATACGTTGCTAGCTAGTAATGTAAATTTGCATATATTTACTGAAATAAATACTGTGTGTCTCATTCGCTGTTCAATTGTTGTGGTGAGGGTATCATGGATAACATAGATATAATTTTTGATGAGTTGAAACGGAATGAAATTGATATTGATAAGCAAAGCGAGTTACATGTATTCTGTGAAGGTGACGGGTGAACGATTTAGAAGTTTTGAGGGAGATCATAAGAAAGCTTATCAAGAACACATGGAGAAAAAAACTTATAGAACAGTTTAACAAATAGTTTTAGTTGTAATATTTTTGACACTATCGTCTGTTATTTGTATCAATAAGCATGTTTTAAACTTTACAAATGTTGCGTTGTTATGGGTTGCTAGTCATTAGGAGGCGTGTAGGTGATTAAGGGGATTAAGGCAGTACGAATTTACATAACTGAGTGTATGCCAATGGATAGATAGGGATTATTTATAGCGCAGGTGTATGCCTTAAAATCAGGCGCGTGACTTTGCGGGTGCATGTATATATTAACGTACAAAATATTTGTACACTAATCAGGCTGGCGGGTCACGCGGGAGGGTCGCGCGGAACCAAACACAAACAGCCATTAAGAGTCAATATCACTACGATACCGTGTGTTTCTGAAAAGCCTTTTCAAAAGAAATGTTCTCTTGTAAATAGTGACCTCTAACGCTTCCCTGCATGTGGTCGAAGTTATCATCGTTAACAAAGACATCCCCGGTTTCCGTAACCTTTTTGTGTACTTGATCCCTCTTTAGTTGTCTTATCTTGTTATTATTAAATTTATTACAAATGTGTTGAACGGGAAGTAATGGGGATATTAATTTTGTAGCGAGTGGTTCGGTGGTTTTACAGGTCTATTTTCAGTATATATAGTTTCATTGATAGAACCACAAATATTGTGGTGGTAACGTTGTCAGGTAATCCCCACAGACACAAAGATTGGGATAATAATTAATGTGATACGAATTTACATAAACGATAGCCTCCTAATGCACATAATAATGAGACTTATATTCATAGTGATCACCTTAATTAATTTATAAGTGATAATTTTCCGAAGTTACACCGAGGATGATAAAACAACGACAGGTTTCCGACCTAGCGCCATTTTGTTTCGTGATGAAAATTTATTCCTCTCACAAAACAAGGCGAGCTATTTTCAGAGTATCATTCTGTTTCAAGATGTCAGAATAAGGAGAGTAGATATAAATGTTAGATGTTCTAAGTGAAATTATGGCTTACTTGACTTTAGTTTTTAAAGTGATCGGGTTTTATGACCTTGAAATCGTACAAGAAGCTATGAGAATCTGTGTATGGGATTTGAAACAAGTGGATATAGCTAGTTTTGAAATAAAACAATATTGGACGCAGCGCTTAGTTGCATGGTTACATCGTAACCTGGTGGAATTTGAATATCACTAATCCAGGTTGAATATCAAAAGTCATTAACTGTTATACAGGGCTGAACACATTGTACTTTTATGACATTGCCCGGACGTGTTTAAGCTCGCCTAGTGAGAAATTGGTTGATTGTGCTTTTCATGTTGCTTGTTATTTGGAGGTGGAAGAGGAATTGAACAGAGATATTGTACCAAAAGCCAAAGCAATGGAATACCACGCCGAAAAGTGTTCGATGGACTTTGAGGATTCTAGATGTGATAGATGTTTGTTCGAAATCGATCGACAACTATTTGATGTTCAAGAATTAGTAAAAATGTGGAACATAACATGTGAACATGATAAATGTACTAAGCCAGCAAATTTTTATAATTGTGGGAGGAAGTTTGTATGTTGTCTTTGCTGTAGAAGTGCTGATTGTATTGTAACATTAGCAAAAGCTAACAAAATGTGTTATCATTAGCAAAAGCTAACAAAATGTGTTATTATTAAATATATTACAAATATATTTCTTTAATGAGTAAAGGTAGATCTGATATTCGTTACACTTCTTTGGTTCGGACCCCACTCTTTGAGCTCCATAATTCGATTTAAATTGCTTAAGCGTATGCCTTAAAATCAGGCGTGAGGTTTTGCGGGTATAAATTCTTCGCGGGTTAAGGTAATTGACGGGATTGGACGAATAGAGATTTGTATAACTATATGTATCCAAATGGATAGATGGGGATATTTATTACGTAGGCGTATGCCTTAAAATCAGGCGTGAGTTTTTGCGGGCATAAATTCTTCGCGGGTTAAGGTAATTGACGGGATTGGGCGAACAGAGATTTACATAACTATATGCATCCCAATGGTTAGATAGGGATATTACATCTTTACGTGTTTGGAGTGATTCGACCTTTATATCAAGCAAACCGTAATGCATTGGTAATTGAATGTTATGGTATTAGGAATTGTCCCAAAATAAGGAGCCCAATCCTGTATATAATGTGTAGTAGAGTTATAACTATATATCTTCACTTGGATTTTCGCAGATATTTTGAAGGTTTTTTCACATGCTTAAAATACCTACTTGCGATAGCTCAGTCGGTAGAGCGAAGGACTGTAGTTCCTTAGGTCGTTGGTTCGAGGCCAGCTCGCAAGATTTAAAAAGTGGACATTCGTTTTGATGGGATGGTCTTAAAATCGGGTGCGTGACTTTGCGGGTCGTAAATTTCATAAACAATACTAGAATAAATCTCAAATGGAAAGAGGTTCAGATTCTACGGTTGTCAAGTTGTTAATGAAATTGCAACAAAACACTGAGAGAAACATTTGTCCCATTGGAAAC